TTAAATATAATATATATATAGAAATAATGTTCTCCATCATGACTGTAAAATTAAAATATTCCGAGGCCAGGCTGCTCCTGTCAGCTGAGAGAACACGACTGCACGAGAACGCAGCACAGACATACGCCATGATGCATCGCTGTGATTGACAGGATCGCTCTAACATTAACCAGCTTTTGCAGGCTTTTATTCTGGATTCAGTCTCAAAGGGAATCTCTATCTCTGCTGGTGGTATGGATCTACTTCACATGCAGGGTAATGTGGACACATGTGTATAAAGAGATATCTGTGGTCTGAAGCTTTCAAGTTAAATGATTTGAAGGTTAAACAGTAGTAGTTGGAGTAATGTATAGAGGAAAGGTGTGGATACCTCTGTCAATCGTTCAGGGTGTTTGTGATGGGAAGCAGCCCTCACCACCTCATCGTTCTATCGATTGAACGCTCTGCAAAAAATCAGAAACATGATTTTATAATCAGGTTGACGGCACATAAAGAAAATCTTTGTGTAAGGCAGTCAAATCATGTTCACCATTTATACCGCTCCACTGTCTAATGTCTGTAAGAGAAAGCATTTTTAACATTTCAAATTCAATCCATTACATCCATCCATTATCTGTACAGCTTATCCTCTAGAGGGTCATGAGGAAAGCTGAAGCCAATCCCAGCTGACATTGGTCGACAGGCAGGGGACACCATGGAAAGGTCTCCAGTGTATCACAGGACCAACACAGAGACACTCACATCCACACAAACTTAGAAAAGTCTCGAATTAACCTAACTCCAATGTCTTTGACAGTGGCAGGATGCAGACTCCACAGAGAAAGACCTGACCTGGTAAAAAAATTCATTTAAACCAATGACTTATAGGTTGAAATGAACCTTGTTGTTAAAAATAACATAAATAGTGATTGTAATGAATGCATTTGTTTATGTATTTGTGTAATTATTTTTCCACCTTTAAAATTGGATGCTTAAGATATTGAATACCTGGCCAATACAATGCAAACTTAAATGATAAATACAAAACACAAGCACAAAATAATAATGGGTCAGACAGTGAAGACACTAAGGAATACTCACTCAAAGTAAAATATATACACATCTGACAGTTTTAATTCATTAGAGTTCTAGAGTTACTCTTTATTTGTCACTTACTTCGTATTAAATCATTTTGTCCAGTCCTGTCTCCCTCAGATAATGGAGCATACTCCTCTTTGCTGTCCTCACTGTGCTCCCTTCCTGCTGTACTGCATTAAGGTGTCTCCCTGTGTGAGATACATCGCAGCTATGCTTCCATTCTCCAATAGTGTTCCTTTTGATTATTGTTTTTGCTTCCGACTTACTAAATAAAATGTCCATGACTTCTTCATGATTTAGTTCTCGCTTAGCCAATAAATCCACCCCTTTACTGCTCTTTATATCTCTGTGTGCCGATATCCACATAATTCATCTCATAAATCATATTACGAAATCCATAGAGTCGAATATCTCATTAAATAAATCTTGCGCACTGTTAGATGAAAATGACTTTAAAGACATTAATGCTGAGCACGAATCTGTACACGAAACATCTTTCCTGATTTGTAATACTGCCGCAAACGCTACCATCTCCACCGTGTATTTTTGTCTCCTGTTTGTGGTTTTTTTTGTCATCATTCTGAATTCCTTGGATTCTTTTCTAGTCATTTTGTGTCTCTTTGTCTTCTGTCTTTTTGTCTAACAAAGTATTGTGTCAATATGGTCACTTTTCAACCTGTTGTTGTCATTTTGAATCACTTGGATCCCTTTCAAGCTGTTTGGCATCTCTTTGTGGTCTTTTGTGCCACCATTTTGAGTGTCTTTGTAATCATTGTATGTCTTTTCTTTCGTTGTTTTATGTCTCTTTGTGGTTGTCTTGAGTCTCTACACATTTTGTGTGTCTTTGCAGTTGTTTTGACATAGTTTTGTGTCTCCTATATGGTCACTTTGAATCTTTATGTGCATCCCTTTCTAGTCTCTTTGAATCACTTCATGGTCATTTTGTATAATTCTAAGGTCGGTTGTATCACTCTTGGGTTGTTTTGAGTGTCTTTCAAGTGATTACGTGAGCTTTGTAACTTTAAAATAATTTATATCATACAACAGTTTCTTCAGAAGCTACATGAGTAGGCCAAACTGTATTGTTATGCTATTATAAAGGAGCATTCAAATTAAGTATTAGTACCTAGAACTGTACTTCTGTGGCCTTCATTACTTGAGTAAATGTACTACTGACTATACTTTTCACCACAGTCTAAAGTATGAATATTAACTACATATGGAACATGTATCATTTGCACTCGTGATGAACAATAGTTCACTTTCTTTTCATGACTCGCAGCAGTTACCTGACGCCACCACGTGCACACAGATCCACTTGAGTTCCTCATTTGCAGCAATGCAGCTTTACTTACGTGACAGCGGGAGCGCGCTTTACGCACACACACAAGTACCACCCGCATGGCCGAGGCCACCACCCACGCGCGCTGTTTAAGTTTATCGGGGCAGGAAAAAGTTCACGTAGCTATTGGGGGCCTGCCTTTGTGCGCGTTCGCGACGGCCCAGGTTTTGGAGATGTCGGTGCCGTCTCCGCGCTCCCGATGCAGAGAGGAGAGTTTAGGATTGTGTGCGTCCTGAGAGGAAACCGACGAAAAGCACAACATGTGGAGGTGAGTAGCTGCAAAACAAGTTTACAATTTTCTACGTTTCATAAATAACCTAATAAGTGTTTCTGAGGTGTAACTACAACAAACATTTTCTGTCTGAAGATGTTTAAATAGTCTCAAAAAGTTTATCCTTCAGTGAAATTCATCAAGGGGGAAGTTTTACTGTTATTTATGAAGAATGGTCTTTGTGTGTTTGTTACTGATCCTTAATCTTTGGGGAAATAACACGAATATGGTGAAAATTATACATTTGGTTTTACTGTTTTTACATCAGAGGAATAGTCTGTTGTCCAACCTTGTATTCATAATAGTTTTTAATGTTTTTATTCTCCTGTATGCTCTTCTACAGCCTCATTATCTCGTGTCTCCATTATTCTCTGTTTGGATTCAGTTGTTGAATGATAAATACAGTTTTCTTTCTTCTTATCCAAAGGGTGTATTTATGTTAAGCCGGTGGGGGTTGGCGCTTTTTTAAGTAAAAGTTTCTCTTACAAGGATAAATAAAGTTTTGATTTACAGCTCTAAACAGGGGGATTATGTACAGTGTCACTTGGATTTTTTTATGTTCCCTGATTGTTTTGTATTGTTATGGTTTATCTGTAGAATTCCCTGTGCAGTATATGTTAATTGCAGTGTTGGAAACATATTTTTTACATCCATATAAGTTATAATAAATAGTGTCAGAAAATCAGGGTTAGTAATTTGCAGTAAAATCCTCTTAGTTAAGGTTTGGTGGAAAAGTTAGTCCTCCTTAAAAGACGTCAATGTCTTTTTTTTTTTTAAGGATTTCATGTAAACAAAAAAGGCTCTGCTGTTGCCACTGATGGCTTTTAACAGACACACTGAAGGATATTTAGAGGGATGAAAAGTGAGTGGCCCTCTGGAGTTTTTCACTTTTAAAACTCACAGTTTACTTTAACATGTCTCCTTTAGAGCAGGGGGTTTTCAGGCTCTGAGAAAGCAGCAGCCCGTGAAAAGAAAAGGAGCTCCCAGGCATGAGAGAGAAAGCCCTGTATGATTCGGCGAGTGTAACACAAATTAATCTGATTAAAGAATTACAGCATTCCATGGCTGAATCTCACATAATCATCTAAGGCTAAAAAAAAATCGCAGGTTTACAATGTTGTAATGTTGAAAGTGCAGCTCTCCTGTGGTGTTTTTTGCACAGGAAGCAGCGCCCCTGTTTTGAAAACCTAAAGCCTAATTACAAATGAATTACTCTCTGCACACAGAGCTGTCTTATTGTCCAATGACAGCTTCCCTCTGGAGAATTCACTCTCCAGCCATTAGGCGGGGCAGGGTGAGTTAATGAGTGACCAGACTGGGCAGAGAGCCGGTTTACTTCACACTTTTCCGAGAGATAGGGCTAAATGTGGGAGTATGTCAGAGAAATCAACCTGCAGATAATCCAAAAACAGTTCAGCCTGGACTGAAAACATCAGATGGTAAGAGGTCAGAGTTCATGCTGGGTTTTATTCTTTGAGTTTCCTTCTTTGTAGAGGTTAAGACTGAGGGTTGAGGCGCAGTTTTTCCAGCGGTTGACTTTGAAGCTGCTTGTTAAAGTTGAATAGAATTGATATGATGTACGTTGTCGACTGTGACTGCAGAATGCAGGAACAATTCTCTGAATTCGTTCTCATTACAAAGAGCAAACAAAGGCCAAGTGTTTCATGTTCTCAGATAAAGATCAGGTTTATGTGTGCAGTGTAGGTGTGCCATATTTAGAAACAGACAAAACACTGCTGATAGGATTCTTCTCTACAAGGGCCCGGAGGTGGGTTGTGTTTCGACAGAAATGGAAATCAGGGAATTTTCTCGCTGTAACATCCTCAAGTGCGTTGATATTTGTCGCTCTCCTGCAGGTTTGATGTCACCCAATCAGTCTGAAACCACACATTTCTCTCCCCTTGACAGATGAGTACCCACCCGTAATCGAGCTCGGAGAATCATCCGGCCCTGATTGGACTTTTTTTTCCTTTTTTTTCCTCTTGACGATTTGCTGGTGGTGGGAGCTGGAGTCGCCATGGAGACGGTGGTGATCGTAGCCATTGGGGTGTTGACCACCATTTTCCTGGCCTCCTTCATTGCCCTGGTGGTGGTGTGCAGACACCGCTACTGCCACCCTCACGACCTGCTGCACCACTTCGACTCCAAGTCAGTGATTCTAGAAACATTACTCTACAACTTCTATTTAAAAGTTAAAAGTTACTGAACTGTCCTGAATATTATTTGTATTTCAACTCTACAACATGGTTTCTCTGCATTGCTGCTGTATGACACTGTATGAACAGGTTTAGAGGAAAGACCATCTTTGTGTTTATGCTGTTTTTATGCCTTTGCATACTATGGATTCGCACAATTCTTTAGCTACAATTAACAAAAACTGCAATAATATTAATAGTGAAGTGTAACCAGGGCATCAGCTTAGAGGTGCATGATTGATTTTTCTATGCATCATAAAGAAGAAAGCAAATAAGAGCAGTAAACAAAAACAGGAAAGTTGATCAGGTTGTGATTGATTATTCTCATTTACAATATTAATACATTCTTCTTTATGGTAATTTTCCTATTTTTATTCAAGAGCATTACTGAGAGTAGGACTTACTCAATTCACGTTCAGATTTCATTATGCTTTCAATCGAATCCCGGTGCTTGCACTGAGGTAGCCCCTGCTTGTACTCAGATTTGCACACAGATATTTTGTTCCTTGAAGACTTTTTGCACAAAAAAATTCAAGCGAAGAAGGGAAATTCAAATCCAAGAGCAGATGTTTCATGAGCACACAGAAGCAGCTTGAGCACGAGGAAAAGAGGTGAAGCTGGAGCGCAGGAAATCTTTTTTACAGTAGTCCAGACTGGACAACCTAAACTCCTCTGAGTTTTTATGACAACTGAAGGCTACCACAGGTTCTCTTTCATGTTTGGAAGGGGAGGGTGAGGTGAGGGGTGTTCAGCTGCTACAGTTTTCACTCTCTTCTGCTTCAATTGTTGTGTTTCTCAGACCCACCGTGGATCTGATTGGAGCCATGGAGACTCAGAGCGAACTGTCGGAGCTGGAGCTGGACGACGTGGTCATCACCAACCCTCACATCGAGGCCATCCTGGAGAACGAGGACTGGATTGAAGACGCCTCGTATGTCTGAACAGCAGCTTCGTGACATGACGTGAAGTTTAGAGTCTTAGAAGTTGAACTTACCTCCATCAGTGTGACTGTTGTGTTTCAATCAGCGCTGTGATTCCTAATCCTAATTCTATGACATTTTCTCCCACAGTGGTCTGGTCTCTCACTGCATCTCCATCCTGAAGGTAATGAAAGTAGTTATTCTCTAGTTTTCTAGTTTTGATTGACAGCATTTGACTACAAAGGTGTAGGAGACACTAGGAGGTAATTTTTTATGTTTCTGGTTTATTTTCTCACATAGTCTCAATAACTGGATGAGAGAAGATATGAGTTCATTTGTTGAAACACTCATCAGATTTTTATTCAGTTGCTCAAATTGTTTGGTTTCTGTAAACATAAGAAAAAGTGCAGCTAATATCAAATGCCTGTTTAATCCAGACCTCCAAGTGATTCATTTACAAGCTGAACGTGGAATCTGCTCAAAGCCCCCAAATATCTAATTTACTGTGATATGTGACAAAAAAGCAGGAAATATTTTCTTTAGAGAAGGTAAAATCAGGAATTATTTGGCAATCAATCAGTAGTTGTGCATAAACAAATGACTAGTTGATTATCCAATTAGACTACTGAGGTGCTACAAGACCTTAAATAAATGTTTGGGTAGTTGGCAACTTATTACAGTACTCAGGGCTGAATACCACAAACTTCTTTTTCACTTAATTTGATTTAAATTAAATTAAAATATATTAATTTACAACTAATATCCACATTAGAAGACAAATGAACATGGAAATGATTTAGAATTAACTTGGTGGTTTATGAAGTATTTAATTTCTATATAATCGTTCATAATTTCCCAGTTTCATTTATGTTACGATGTTGTTCCTCACACAGATCTGCCACACCTTGACTGAGAAGCTGGTTGCCATGACAATGGGCTCAGGGGCAAAGGTCAAAGCACCAGCGAGTCTGAGTGACATTATCACGGTGGCAAAACGGATTAGCCCGAGGTAACACACACAACTCACCACAACTCAACACAACTTTCTGTTGCCACAGTACTGCCTGGAGATAACCTGCCTCCCCTTCCTCCTCCTCACTTGCCTCCTCCTCTTTCTCCTCCCTCTCCTTCTCCTCCTCCTAACCTGCCTCCTCTTCCTCCTCACTTGCCTCCTCACCCTGCCTTCTCCTTCTCCTCTTCCTCTTCCTCTTCCTCATCCTTACCTGCCTGCTCACAGGGTGGACGACGTTGTCAGATCCATGTATCCTCCTTTGGATCCAATTCTCCTGGACGCCAGGTAATCACATCTATTTTCCCATCATTAAAAGAGGGAAACAGCAAAGACCATTGAGCTTAAATCTATTTATCAATAATGTCATTATCTTTGAGATAAACAATGATACTTTGAGAGACTGCAGCAAACAGGAAAACAATGACATTCAAAAGTTGGTGTTTTTCATCATTCACTCAAACAGAATAGAAACTTATGCAGTCCACAGTGAGTTGTGTACGGAACCCTTCTAGTCCTGTAAATAACTGCTTTTCATCAAGCAACAGCCAAATGAAAAAGGGAGTGAAGACAGTTTAATCAAACCTCTTTTGTCCAACTCTTCCTCCTCAGGGCCACTGCTCTGCTCCTCTCCGTCAGCCACCTGGTGCTGGTCACCCGCAACGCCTGTCACATGTCTGGTAGTATGGACTGGATCGACCAGTCGCTCCACGCCGCAGAAGATCACATGGTGGTTTTGCGTGAGGCGGCGCTGGCGTCTGAACCGGATCGAGTCATACCTGGAGCTGACACACAGAGAGAGCAGGCCATTTAGAGCGAGCACAGACACTGACAGAGGTAGAACAGCAGCAGATGAGCACGGCTTCGTTTTTATCCGTGAGATGATACTTTACAGTCATAGACAGTGTTGAAAAGGCACATTACCCAAATGACTTCTGATCAGTAAACACTCTCGCCAGTGGATCCAAGAATTGTATTTTTGCTGCGAGGCCTGCTGGAGATCACCTTGCACCGCAGCTACATAGCGATTTCTGGAAAGTAAACGTCACACACTCCCACATACAGGCTTTTTTTTGTATGTAACCCTACAGCAGATGTTTTTCAGAGTTGCTCTGTTAAAGATGTAAGCTGCCTGCAAGTGAAAGGCCTTTGGAAATTTCTTCTTGAGTGCGCCATCACCCAGCGGTGGGCCTAAATCCAATCTCTCCAGCACTGCACAGTCACATGGAGGCTTAGTCAGCTAATCCACTCTGAGGAAAATAACACCCTGTTAGCTTGTGAGCTGCAACTCACTGGACCAGCGGAAGACTAACCTGACTTATGTAGAATCTGAGGGGTCAGTGTGACTTGAGGATACTCTAAAACATCCCTGTTACACTTAAATCACCCATCTGTGTTTCTTCAGCTGCAGAGACCAATATCAGTAGTTTTAGCATCAGGAGAGTAAAAGTTTGTTCTTGTTCATTAACATATTTGTCCATTTGTACTGTTTAAGGATCAATTGGCACCCCCTCCTCTTGAAAGTCATCAGCCATAGCAGCACTCTGAGAATAGAATATCTCAACTTGTACTGGACAGATTGGCTCAAAAATCCGGGCAGGTTTTATAGTTACAGGAGGATGAACCCTTATGACTTTCTCTAGCAACACCAACCACTTGTTCTGCAATGGTTGAAGTTTGACTGGCACAAAAATCTGGACAAATGTTCACGTTCCCCTGAGGATAATATACCTGTGTTAATTAACTTTTCATCAAGCGCCATCATCAGGTCAAACCTGTGATTTGTTCCATACTGTGGTTTATGCATCATGACTGTAGAATAGACTGTATGTCGTGTTCTCTTCCTCTCAATATCCAGAAATGAAGCAAAGATATCCTGGATACGAATGCCGCCATTTTGTGCCAATGATACCATCTGCACAATAGCAATCAGGGAACGGAGCTACAGAATCCACAGAGTCCCACCTCGACCAGTCAGTTTTTATTGCATCAAAGAACTAATTAAAACCAAACTTAGCCCAAAAAAATGAACACTTGAACAAACATCAGCGTGATAAGAACTACCTGAAATGACAGAAAAATGTATTTTATGTATGATGTGACTTTTTATTTCGTCCACTAACATGGAGAAGGCAGGGGTTATGACCTATACTGCAGCCAGCCATCAGGGGACCATCGAGATCACTTGCTTTTTAATTCAGGCCCAAAAAGTTTTTAAAATGTATCTTATGTTTCAATTGACATGTGACCAGGGATAAGAAGAATGTGCAGATATCAAAGCAGAACCGGAGATGTTAGGAACGTCATTTCGTGCTACAGGTGATCCCCCCCCCCCCCCCCCCCCCCGAAATCTTGTGTTTGACTTTGTACAGTATGTCTTTGTGCTTTGTCGTGTTTTGAACAGCGTGTTGATCCAGGTGATGCAGAATTAGCATGTTGTTTTGGGCCAGGGTTTTGTTATTGGAGCATTGCTACCTGTTCCCTCATGCATGACTAATAGCCAATCCCCAAGGAGCCCTAATAAGGCTTTGGCCACAGCCACTGTGAACACATGGGCTCAGGGCTGCGACAAACATGGCACAAACCTTTGCACACAAGCGGCTGGCAGACAAGTGAACACATCAGCACGTCATATGGCACACAACCTTTAAATACACACCATCGATCGGGGGGGTCAAACACATTGTGTCTGGATTCTGGTGACAATCGTTAAGTGGGGAGGAAAAGCAGCTCTTCTGTTAATCAAAATCGAACTGAACATGCAGATGTTTCGATGGAAAGATATCAATCGTGGAGGAAACATTTAGAAAGTGGTTTACCTTTTATTTTTTCTCCTTGTTTACATTGTTTATTAGCACTGATATTTTTTGTAAGCACTCCTTTATTTCCTCATCCTTATTTCCAGTTTGTTACTGATGCCCTTTAACTTCCACACACCCTTTTCTTTTTATCTTTCATTGATTTGTACAGATAATATGAAGTTTCAGAGGAAATTTTGTTTTGTTTTTTTTTTTTGCTCTGGACAAAAGCTACAAAGAAAACCATGTCCGATAAAAAGTCCACACACCATACTAATTTTTGACATAAATAAAGGTGAATTTTTTTCTTCTTTTTATTACGATGTGAGTAGTCCTTTGTGCAACAACACAGTGGCAATACCCCCCCCCCATCATCCTCCCTTCTCAGTGGAGGAGGAAGTCCCTGCTGCAGGAGCGACAGTCAGCTTCCACATGTGCTCACTGTTCTAGCATAGAAGCCCCTTGCTTTTCTTCAGATCTATTTGCTTCCAGCTCGGGAGGGAGGCGTATTCATCTCTCTTCATTTCCAAAATAGTCTGAAACACAATTGTGGTGATTTATGGATTAAACATTGTGAAACAAAATGTGATATAGATATAAAATACATGTTTGGTTTAAACTAAACTTTCTCTCAGGATTTATCATCTGAAAGCGCATGCATGTGTTTTCATATGCAAAACCTGGTGAATACTGCAGCCTGCTGGTTGACAAACATCACTGCATGGTACTGCTCCTCCGTCAGTTTACCTGGAAGTCTTCGTCAGACAGGTAGACCTCCAGCTGCTGGGGGTCCACTCCTTCAGGTAAGGGGCTCCGCAGCAGCTCCTCCAGGGGGTACTGGGTCTTCATGAGCTGGGCCAGGGCGTCCTGCACCAAGGTCAGCTGTACCCTCCCTGAGTCACCCTGACACACACAAACAACACACATCAAACACACCCGAGGAAAAAGACAGCACTAATGATTAGACTTCAACATAAAAAACAAGATGAAACAGGGATATATGATACAAAATGTAAAAGAAAGAAATCAGACAGAGCCCAGTCAGAGTTAAAATGGTTCATTACTTTTCAATCTGTTTCCACAGTGTGTGGCTCCATTAACTTAATATACCTCTTCAAAAACTAATTACCATTCAACTCATATGTCTTTTAAGGCAAAATGATACAAACATATTAAGCTTGTTGTTGAACTTCCACAACTTTAAAATTTGCCTTTAAAGCCCAAAAAGATCAAAAAACCAATCTGCTTCAACACAAGCTGCAAATTTGATTTAATAGTTAGGTCAATGCAGTGGTGACACGTGACAGCAGTGGTGGAGGAGCAATAATTAGATTGAAATAAGTATTCAAGTAAAAGTACCAAATAACCTTTCTATTTGAGTAAAAGTAAGTAAGTACTTGCTTTTAAATATACTTAAAGTATCAAAATTAGAAGTACTTGATGAAAGAATCGTATTCCCTCAATTAAACAGTCATACATCATTAATTGTGGTCACTGTATATTCTGTTGAATATAAGATTAATACAGTCATATTTATAAAGAATGATGCAGATGATGCTACTGAAAATGCTGATCGGATCAGATCAATTCCCCTCTATTGATTATTTTCAAAAATATTAAAAACAATGTGAACATGCAACACAAGATATTTGCTGATATATGTTGTGGAGTAAAAGGGAATAGTACTCAAAAATAAATCTAAAGTTAAGATACCGTAATAAAGTAAATGTGCTTTGTTATATCCCACCACTGCCTGACCTAAACCCTAAACCTAAAACCACAAGGACCCCATTTATCTATGCAGTGATACTTTCAAAAAAGAGGATAACTCATATTATTTAACAACCAGCAAATAGATATAACAGAGAAATACACAACACCTCATCTCTAATGATAAACTCATCATTGCATGGTGCTTGTACCTGTGAGGAGGGTCCCAGGCTCCTCTCCCAGTGGGGGAAGACATTAGTGAAGGTGAGAGGTTCCGACCTCTCTAAGATGAGGTAAGCCTGAGGTGGGCGTCTCGGGTTCATCTCTGGGATGCAGAACAAAACAGCACATGTACTCATCAAGTACCAACAATGCTTTCACCTACAATCCATCCTTGTCAATACCCCCTGACCCCCCCTTACCTTTGCAGTACTGCAGCGCTGTCTGCATGGCACACTTCCTCTCATCGTGCCAGCGGCTCCAGGCCGAGACTGAGCTCTCCGTATGCTCAGGCTGACCCCTCTGCCAGAGGTAGACCTCCAGACGGTTGTCAAGCAAGAACAAGGCTGGTGGACAAGAAAGACAAGAAAGGCGGAGGAAACATTAGACAATAAGTAATACATATTTTTATCATTTTTATAAATGCACCTCCTGTAACATTATTTTATCCATATTTTATAATAACATCGCTGGGTCATGTGATAAAAGCTGAAACATCTCAATGAAAAGACTTAAAAAACACTTTGAAGCTCAATGTTGATATATTGTTAATGGCAAATGTATAGCATCTGGGACACACACACACACACACAGTTTTCATGCATGACTTCTGATGAGTTACATATAATTAGAAAAATGACTTTTAAAGTCAGTCTTTTAAATCACTTTTGAAAATCTGAACTCTTTAATTGTGCTTTCTAAAAAAAATCTCAAATTGTAAGTGTGATAAGTGATGTGTATTTTACATCTCTATTTGCGTTCTCTGTTTTGAACCTAAATAACGTTTGTTTGACCAATTGTTAAAATCACTAACATACGTTTTCTGTCTTCAGGATCTTTTTATTCAGGATTATATACCTGAGGATTTGAAGAAATAGTTCGAGTTTAATTAAATAAGTTTCATGCCTTGGTCTCACCTGGCTGTGGAGCAGAGAGCAGACTCTCCTGGACAAAGGGCATCGCCATCACAAGCCCCGGCAGCCGGCTCGGACTCTGCAGCTCTTCACCCCGAAAGCTCCCAGAGGAGGTGCTCAGATGGAATAGACGAGGTGTGAAGTTATACTTTCCTGGATCTGGCAGGAGACATTTTTTTTTCACTGAATGCTGACAGTAATGTTCTGTGTGAAGGAAACCAAGTGTTGTTTTTTACCTTGCAGCATGCAGTCATACGCCTTCCTGTCCATCTTTCCCAGTGCTGTCCAGAAATCTGCAGGCTCTGAACCCTCCTCTATTACCTGCACCTTCATAGGACAGCTTTTGTTGAGACCCAGCTCTGGTGGGCACCTAATACACACACACACACACACACATTACAAACATTAGAAACATAAATCAAGTCTCTTATCTTTTAAAAGCCCATCCAGCATACGTGACTTACATTTGAGTGAGACGCTCCAATGCCCTCTTGCTGACCTCCCTGGTGCTGGCCTGAGCTTTACAACCAGTCCAGAGGTACAGCCCCCCCTGCTGGCTGTTCAGCAGGACAACAGAGCCCCTTGAGCGCAGACCTGCACAGCAGCACTCGACCTCGAGCAGGGATCCCTCCTCCGGGAGCTCCCCTCGCACGCAGAACAGACGCCACTCTGGGACGAGAATATAATATGTAAAAACACATTTAAATGTAAAGCAAAACAAGTAGATGAAAACTTTCCCTAGAGATCTGAATTTACCATACCTGCATCAGTGAAGGCCTCCTCCCGTTTGCCCTTATGAATGACCAGGCCTCCCTGGAAAAGCTGCAGGAAGCAGGGAGGCTCCTCCCCCTGAGGTACAAGCACCTTGAGAAACAAAGCAACAAATGCAATTGAGACAAACTGAATGAAAAATGTATATTATACCATATAACTTATATACCTCAACACTGGAAAAAGCACAGAAATGCATTTATTTTTGCTGATTGATTTTTAAAGCCTTGCATTTACCAGCGATTCTTCCAGGTTGTTCATCCCGATCGAAAGGAAAGCAGCAGTGTCGCGTCCACTGACGCTGGAGTGTCGACCCCGCCACAGGAAGAAGGCGGTGTTTTCGTTGTGTCCAGAAGCACTGCTGCATTCATCCAAACTGTTCGGCTTATCTACAGCAAAGAGAGTAATCTACTTTTTTTATTTTCCTCATGCATATCATAAAATGGGACAAGCAAACAGAAGTGAGGAATGTGGTGGTGGGGCATGTTTCTCTGAATCTCACGAACCAGCAGCACTGATGCTGTACGTCCAGCGGATGACGTAGGAGTCTCCCTCGTGAAGCTGCCCTGTGCTCTCCACTGGAACCTCACTGTCATCGAACTCCTGCACGTGCCAGGTGTCAACTGCAATCGTTCGCAGCTCCATCTGACGTCCTTCCTCCAGCGTGACGACGCCGTAACCTCTCTGGACATCGACCCCACCCAGCACATTATGAACCAAACCGTCTCCGTCCAACGACTGGCCCGACACTAGAGCCTTAGCATCGCAGGGGCTCAGGAGGCCTGAGGGCTGGGAGACGGACTGGGGAGCATGAGCTGGGACGGCCTGTGGGGAGAGGGAGGGAAGGGTAGGAGACAGAGGGAGAGAAAATAGTTTTTGAGGAGAATTAAGAAAAATATTCTTGAGGTTGGAAATGTGCAATAATAACATGGTTTAAGTGCAAGAACTGGGATTGGTGCAACAATTGTGTGGACTATGTATGAGCAGGCTGCTGTAACTATGTCTGTTTTTATATTTGTATTTATTTTTGTTGCACTAAATTGTGTTGCGTTGCAATTACAAAATAAATCTATATTCTATTCTATGATCTCTCTGAGTTATCAATATTTCCGAGAATGTGTAATTGCTCGTACTACACTGCAAGGTGGAATCAGTAATAAGTAAGAAATGTAAGTGAAACATTGAATAATCCACACACGGTGAATAAGTGAAGGTGTTTGTTTTCATTAACAAACCGATCACTTTGTCTGCATGTCTGACCTTAAATCAAGACTTTAAACCATTAAACCATGAGACGGACCTGTGTCTCCAGGTTCACTGACGCAGCTTCCGCAACGCATCCAACCGTCCAGTCCTTAAACTTCTCTCTGAACAGAACCGTCTCGTTGTCCTCCGAGAGGACGCCGAACAGCGCCCAGCTGGGACGACCCTCTCCCCTCCTGAGAACAGATGGAAAGGGGAGTGAAAAAATGTCCTGAGTTGAACATGGTTTCTAAAACATATTTGTGAGTTGTTTACTCCAATAGGAAATAATTGCTTTAAATGCTAATTAGCTAACTATGCCATCATATCATGTATATGAGCACATTTGTCTATAACCTTTCTACTTGCTGAATTCTGGGTTTTGGAAAGCATGAAACACCAACTGTGAGCTAGATCTCATCGCCCAACATACATCATATATGTCTCTCTCTCTTCTCTTTTCCCCATTTCTCTGTTTCTCTCAACCAAACCAATCGAGGCAGCACTTGAACAGCATGTCAGGTTAACGGACCGTGGTGTGCTGGGGTTTCTCCATGTGCAGTGTGGAATTACAGGTCATATGATTGATTTTTACAGCGTGCGCTATAAACCAACAGCAGCTTTATGGGGTTTGGCTGCATGTAAGCTGCTTTCAGACATTCGCTGATGTTCAGACATTTTCCTGAAATTATCCACATGTGAGAATGCAACATTTCCTGCCAGGCCCCAAGTAAAATGTTCAGAAAATGTCAGAGTGAATGTGGACTCCGTCACTTTGGTTTTACTGTGTGAACAGCAATTCTCGAACACATGTGGTGAGCACTTTTTCTGTTGTCCCTGGTATTACCTGGTTATTTTTCATAGTGAAGAACAGACTAAAAGCTTTTCTTGCTTGATCGCCTGCAGTGTGAACTTACCGCTGTATGCTGGGGTTACTCTGCGTGGGATCCAGTGGGTTGATTCGACAGTTGCTGTAGTCATAAGCTCCAACCCACACCTGCTGAGTCAGCTGGAGAGCAACGTTTCTCCTGCTTGGGGAAACATCGCGTCCGTGCCACAGGTACACCTCGCTGCCGAAATCAAACACCAGGGCCTGGACACACACAGAGAGGCGCAGTTTTTGAGTTCTACAGCACCTTTGAGAATCAACACTAATCAGGCAAAAGCAGAAGAGAAACTCAGACCTCAGTGGAGCCCAGCAGGGAGATGGTGGGGATGGAGGCCCAGGCTTGTTCATGAGGCACCAGTCTGTTCTCCACCAGCCTGAACACACAGTTCGATTCCACCACGCCAAACTCATATAGCTCGTCCTCCTCTGGTGCACCAGCTCCTGGAGAGAGAAGCAAAGAAGAAACCATGCTGTACTGCCCTTATGTACTGTCACAGGTTTTCAATCATTGCAGCATTTGCAAAATTTTTCAAGCATTAACAAAATCTGTATGTAAAAATGTGCTTTTGTTCTGATTATGATGATAATCAAACAATCTATTTTCTGGGTGATATCTACAGTTTATTATTTTTAACCTCTGTATTGCAACCGTCCTCCGAGCAGGTCCCAGAATTGTGAAGCCTCGCTGCTGTCAGAGTTCAGCCCCTCCTCCAGGTGGACGACCTGTGATCCCTGACAGCCGAGGTCTCTCTGGCTCTGGATTGATGAGGCTAGCTCCATGGCCTGAAAAACAATAAAAACTTCTACTACTACTGCAAAACATGCAACCAGTGTGGGACCGGATAGTAACAGAATAGCTAAAACTGTCGTATTAAAAAGGAAGATTCCTAACATCTGTGTTTTTTACAATATATTTGTAAAATTTGTAAGAATTTATGAATCCAAGAATAAAATTTTCCCTTGTGTCAGGTGTCCTACGTCTTTATGTATGTATGCATTTATGTATTTTTATGCATATGCTACTCAAAACGTAAAGGAAAAGAAAATGCACTTTGTGGCAAAAAGACTCATGTGGTTTTATTAACTATGTGGCTTAAATTGTAAAATATTAATACTCTTCAGAATGTGTAAGAAATATTTCATGGCACTGAGTTGTTAAGATTTTATGCCATTTTTATACCTTTTCACTAAATGTATGTATATTTTTTAAACCCTGCAAAATTGTACTTTTATCCAAATATCATGTATAAATATATATTGTCTAATTGGTACCTTGGCTTTCTCCTGCTCATTGGCAAACTCTCCGGTCCACAGCACACAACGTTCCGGAGTGACCAGCAGGAAGCAGTCTCCACTGTTCAGCGACCGCACCGAGGGCTCCACCAGGCGCACCTGGACACGCCACCTACCTGTCACCACAGGCAGCAGTTAATATAAACCCCTGAACACAGGGAGATCATCACACTGAAACAAACCACATCTTTTCTGACCTTTAATGTGAATGAGCATCAGGCTGCTGAAGGGAGGATAAGACTTTGCAGCATCTGAGGAAACAATGGAGTCCTCTGATCTGGACACAGAGGAGTTCTTAGACTCTGCAGAGAGGAGCAAACACAAGGTGAGAGAGCTGAGAGGAAGGAGATGAAAAAGAAACAGAAGTAAACAAAAACCTATTCTCACTCTTCTCTGCTTGGATCCTTTCCTCAGCAGCTGCGTTAACTCTCTCTCCCATGTAGTCCTGGCTGACGTCCTCTCTGGCAGCGAGCGCCCTCAGAGGGTTTCTGGAGCCCTGAGTCCGACGGGATGGACGCACGGACCGTCTGTGCTCTGCTACTGCTGAGGTCAGTCTGTACAAACACACACACACAAAAGCAACGTTTCACAGAGACAGTATCTTCGCTATTTTCTAACTTCCACGTGGATGTGAATGGTTCATATGAAAAGTTTAAACCAGGCTCACATGTGAGTGTTGGTCTGGCAGAGGACACCCAGATCCTGCTCACTCTCTGTGGCAGCAACTTCTCCACATGGTGGGGGGGCGCAGGCAGAGGGAGGCGGCCGGTCGCCTCCATTAAATGCACCGGAGTCATCCACAGGCGTCTCCTCCTTCTGCTCCTGTGGAGAGGCTGAGAGTGGGGATCTCTGCGGAGCTGGAAGGGGACAGATGTGGAAACTTGAGAAGACTTTAATTTATATCAATGAAGCTTTATATGATGGAGTCCATCTGTGTATGTCGTACCTTCACGCTCCATCACAGGCAGCACTGAGATCTCTGTTATATCAACACACAAGAAAGAGAGAAACAAATATGGTAATAAGAATCAGTGTTGTTGAAATATGGTTCAAACTTCCTCAGTTAAGTGTCTCTTGAAATAAGAATTCTCGTTTGTGTCGGATTCTGGAGAATCGAGCCCTAACAGGTGTTAAAACACTGAAGTCAGAGACTGAGGGAAGAATTTGAAAATGCAGAGCGTATAAGAGTAAAAAGAAAATGCAGTAAAGCAGAGTGATATCCTCACCTCTCTTGACCATGTGTCCAGGCTCCTGCTCTTGACTTTCCTGCTGTGCGTTCGCTTCCTCTGCTTTGTCCACCTGAAGCGGCTCATCCTCCCCTTCCTTCACCTTTCACAGCCACAGGAACACATCGGTTCAGATACAGACGAGCTCTAATGTAGATTAAAACATCACACATACCAAAAATGTTCTCACCTTCTGTCTCCACTGAGGCTGAATCGGGTTCTTGGTGGGAGAGGAGACTTCTTGTGCCTCGAAGGACTGATTTGTCTGAGGATGAAGGAAACAGGAAACAGGTGAGTTCTTTAGTGAATCTGATTTTTTTTAACAAACACATTTTAGTCTTCAGAGAAAATCCCAGCTGATTGGCCGAGAGGTGGGTACCCCTACACAGTTATTCAGTCCATCACAGGGCCGACATACAGAGAAAACCACAATTCACACCAACTTAGAGTCTCCAATGGACCTAACCCCCAATCAACATGTCTTTGGACTGTGGGAGGGAGCTGGAGAAAAACCAAACACGGGGAGGACATTCAAACGTCTCACTGAAAGACTCGGCCAAACCAGGTATCGAACACTTTCCCGCCCATAAAGCAGTGTCTTAAGTTTAACTTGCATTTTTCATTTGAGCAACAAATGCCGATGAGAAACATGCAAGAAAAGAAACATGCTCATTATCTTCTTGATAATCGTAACAAATTCTTCTGTTGTTCCAGAAATTTTTAAAAAATGTTTGGGACATTGTTTGTAAGTAGTGAAGGAGAATGAACCACAAAATGACCACAAACGATTAGGCAGTTCACTGGCAGCACCAGAGTTTACGCCTTAGTGTGAGTAAAAAATCGAATCCACCCGAATCTGTCCGGTGACAAAAAATAAACTTTTCACTGCATCCAAAACACTGCAAACCAAGAAGCAGCGATCAATCAGCCATGCAGCGGCTCACACAGTTACCTGATTGAAACACATGATATATTGGGGCGTAGAGCTAGAATAGACAGAGGCAAACACAGGTTCCTAGGAGAGAGGAGGAATTAGGAGAGAGAGCGGCTAACGCTTTTTAAAAACCAGACTGAAAATCGATGATGTCATGATGGAGATTTAGTCAGGTGAATGCAATTTAAAGGATTATTTAAAGACTTACCCAGCACTGAGGGGTGACACTTTCACAAAGGAGGTTTTCTGTCTCCTCCTACAGAGGGCGATATGAGGGACGACATGAAAACAACATGATAAAATTAAAACAGAAATCAACAAACTAAGTTAAATTAAAACAGAAATCAACAAACTAAGTTAAATTAATACACACACACACATGCTTTCTCACATTCTGTCACCAGGATGAAGATGATAAAGTCATGACAGGGTCAACATTTAAACACTAATATAATCTGTAGTCTGTTTACATTCCACTTCAAGCTGTGAGAGGGTCGAACCCATCTCAGCACATAAACACTAAGCGGCCAGGATATATTCCCCTGGTAACTTAAGTCTGATCTCAAGACATTTAGCACATACCAGAACCAGAGTGCTGTTGCTAAGAGATTCTATATCTGGTTACAATGGCATCACAAATACCCAAACCTAACCACAGGCCTTTTTCTCTCTCTAGGCTCAAGGACTGCACCGAACCTGATCACCTCAAACAACACTGACTTTTATTTGTAACGTTTTTGTACTGACTTATGACGTCAACCTTTTTCACAGGAGAACAAAGCACCCAAAACAGTTACTGTTCTTCATCCCTTTTCATCACAGTCGTAAACCTGATCTACATTAGACGGTGACTCTCAAAAAGTCAGCATGATCATAAGAAACACAGAACCAGTTACAAAGTGACAAACATGCTAGAAATGCTGTCTTTATTGCCTCAGCTATTTCTCTTGGAATAAAAATAGAATAGTCTATCCTTTGTGTAAGGTGATATTCAGTTTCCCCTTGAGGAATTAATAAACTATCTCGTATGGTTTTGCATCGTATCGCATCATAACGCATTGTCTCATATCACATCGAGTCATGTTGTGTTGTATCGTGTTGTGTCGTATCGTGTCACTTCATATTGTAATATGAGGTCTGTCGTAGCTTTGGTATGGATCTGTGATGTCGTGATCCTACAATTCTTTGCACAGATAGAATCAAGGGACTTTCAAACATTGTATAATTTACCTAAAGGCTAAAGCATCCCACAGACAGGAGCGCTGCAGCAGGGTAGCACTGCTGATTACATTAGTCCACAGCATGACAACTTTGTGAGAACCCCCTCAAATTCTCGGATTGGAGCTTTGCATGGAAACCATATCTGTTTGCTGTCCCTTTAAACACCCTTCACCACTGGTGAGACAGTGTTTTTCAAAAGGTAGAAATGCTGAACCATGAACTGTATCCCTTACTGCTGACAGTCTGAAACTCAGCGGCTCCAAACTGGAGAGGATTACGGATTATGGAAGGGCAAAGAAACGAAGGCAATTACAAAGCGACTGTGCAGGTTGTTGTTCTGCAGATTCCCACTGACATTACAGAAACAACATATCTGTTTCTCACCTCACTCCTGCTGGTTTTGGTCGTCTCCTGCAGTGTTGAGGTTCCATCCACCAGCGTCACCTGAACATGTCCAACAACTGGGGATCCTTCATTGATTCTTGATGAAGATGAAACATAAACGGTAAAAATATGACAAAAAAATGTCCTACGGTTCCGTTTTCATTCTAAAACCACAGACAATGTTTGTACTTATCTGATCATTTTTAAAGCCAGACATATTCACTGTTTTCCTCATATTAATATCATCAGAGACCTTTCGTGCCACCAACTCCCCAGTATCAACTGTTCACCTAATAACCGTTACTTACAGGACTTTCCTGGTGATGTCTGAGCTGCATTCCACAGAGGAGGCCAACTGCTCCTGTAGCCTGGTCTGACAGGGCCTCTCCTCCTGAGGAGCGTCCTGCTCTGATGAGGCTCTTGTTGGCGTGCAGGCGATGGTTTCCCTCCTGTTTCGAGCTCTCTGCCTCCAGGGAGTGGCAGTGAGTTTGCCTCCCTCCGCACCTGAAGCCTCGCCTCTCTTTCTTCGCGGTGGTGCAACAAGTCCTTGCCTCTCTGCACCCTCCATCCTCCCCTGTATCACTGCTTCTCCACAGCCCCCTCCGTTCTGTTCGTGGCTGCAGGGTGCATCCACCTGAACGCCCTCCATCCCGCTCCACTCAGAGGCTGCAGAGCGGCTCTTCTTCAGGATTCCTCTCAAGCCGGGCTCAGAGTCGTAGCGCTGCAGGCCCTGCTGGCCGGGACTGGGCTCGGCGTCCGGTCTTGGCTGAGAGAGACGAACCTCGCTGGGCTTTAGGTTGACAGACGAGGCCTGCTGTCTGTCGGACAGATGAGGGGACAAACAGAAGGCAGGGAGCTGTACGGGGCCTTTCTGGAGCTGGAGAGAGGTGAGGATGATTATTGAGAATATACAGAGCATTAAAACATAATTTACATGTTATCTAATTAGAAATTGAACATTTTATCTTAAGAATTATTTTGATTCTGTTGACTTGGGTCTTCCTACTTACCAGGCTGACCTCCTCCACGGTGATGGGCTGAGTTCGGTACCGAGCCCCCTTCTGCCTTCTCCTCTCTGGGGGCCCGTCGGGATGACTGGACCCCTTCCTCTCCGGAAGAGAAAGTTTGGTGAAGAGCGCCAGCTTCTCACTCATGCTCAGCCTGCAGCTCTCGTCGACATCTTCCACTACCTCCGCCTGCACAGACTGGGATTCCACTGGAAGAGCTGGTTTGGGGGCGCTGCAGGAAAAAAAAATCAATGATGTAAACAGGCTTGTGTGTCTATATTTTATTCCAACTGTTCAGACCACAGCAGAGTAAAAAAACACTCAAAAGCTGCTGCTGTAGGTAATCAAGAGCAAATTAAATGTATCAGTGCACAACTGCAATTTGTGTCCAACAAATGAACCTTTAACTCCAGTATCAATGACTTGAAAACTGCAGTTTTATTTTATTTTTTAAAGATTTACATCCTCAATGGAAATAAATGTCCTCGAATCTACAGCAGAGGTTCCCAAACTTTTTACTGTGAAACCCCTTAAAAAGAAGGCATGTTTATTTGTGACTCTGTGTGACAACTTTCACCAAAGAATGATATTTACTTTTTTTATTTTAAGCTTATTTTAGCTGAAATTATGAAAAAAAAGGATGTAAATCATCTCATGACGACTCTAAATGTATCTTGTGGCCCCTTGGAGGCATCCGGACCATCCTGAGCCGAGAGAAGAAACAGCACTGCTGTAAATATTCACAAACAGTACAAATGGGTATTCATTTGCAAATGAAAAAAGTTCTGCTCCTTTTACAGGGACAATGTACAATCAAGAGCAATTGTACTAGAGTTAGCAGCTTATTTGAATCCATCGTACCTGGGCATGTGAAAACAGAAAATAATAAATCTTTAGCTAAACATTTAAAAAAGATCAATGTTTGTTGTGGACTGTCATTAAAGATTTTAATGAGAACAAAAATATAAAATAAAGCCAAACTTAGCCTTTCAACACATGAGGGTCATCTTTAAATGGATAAGCTACAACACTGGAGTATTGTCTAAAGTAATGATGTTCAAATATTATATAATTCGCCTTTATATGGATGTGTATGTCCACCAATGATGTTAATATGAGACCAGTGAGATTATAACCTCTTCATCTCAATTACATCTGACCACCACACTTCCAAACAGCCCACCTGATAGCCACCATTTCCTCACAGGTGATTGGCTGAGTGAGGAAGCGATGGTCGTTGCCACGTCGCACCCTGCGTTCTTGGCAGACACTGCCCGATCGAGGCTTCAGGAGGGCCGGGGCCTCGGGGGCTGCAGATTTCTCCAGTTCCTATACAGCAGTAAGAGGCGACGTTAAAATCAACATGTCATCGCCGCAGGTGGCCCCCGATGCTCAGCTAATAGGGCGGCCTCGATTGACACAAATGACTAATAAAAGAGACCACAAAAATGGCAGTGAAAACTCCCTCTCCTGATGTCTCCTGTTCTATTTGTATGAACAGACGGGGTGGGGGGGGTGTTGGATGGCCGGTGAATAAAGCGACGAGCTGTAAGGTGGAGAGTCTCTGTACACTTGGATTGAATGCCGGCCCAACAGGTCACAGTGTAACCAGAGCTGCAGCGGCTTCTGTTACCTCCCTGCCTGCCTCCACGGAGCAGCAGGCTAATTATAACACAACCACCGTGGTTGTTTCTAGCAAAACAGTGTCCGGCACATTTTCACCTGATGCTTCAAAACTAAAACTGTGCAAGAGGTGAAATCAGGACTGTAACTGTTGAGAGGGAAACAAATGCAAAGTGTGTTTAATCTTTAATCTTTAATCAAACTGTGCATCTGGGTACAGCACCATGTTTGACCAACCACGTTCCCCCTATGTGATCAAGTTGTGCTCAGCACTGGCTCACTGTGCGTTTCAGACTGAGGTGAGCAGCTGAGGTGAGTGTTGATGATGGATGAAGCTTTTGCTTCAGCCGTTTAATATATTTGTCAACTGGAATGTTACTCCAAAGTCAACAGTCCCCCATTGAGTACTTTTTGAGTAATCCTGCTGACAAAGAAATAAACACGCAAATAGACAGGGTGCAAAACATAACTTCCAGTCAGATCTAAATCCAGTGTGACATACCACATGATTGTTATTTCTCATTGGACATATTTGAGCCTGATGCAACATATTAATGGGAATTCCTGGTTTGACGAGTTCATTTCTCATACAACATCCTGATCCCAGCCTTATTGACATAAGTAAACATTCAGAACGTCTTTTAATTATTCTACTGTCAGTGTAAACAACGGTGAAGTTTGAGATGAGTCATTTTGAGCAGCAGGTGTTTGGACAGTTCAGCAACAGCAACACGGGTCCTGTTTCAGTGCAGAGACTCACTTTAAACAAAGACATCTTGGCGGCCACACTCATTTTGGCTCTGTCGTCTGTTTTCACATCAGCTACGGCAGAAAAAGACATAAATCATCAAGATTAAAATAAATGAACACGTGATGGAAATAAGTAACATGGAAATAAACATTGACTCCCTGAGAAACTGGCAAAGGACAGTTTCTGACACACTCTAAATAAAAACATTCAATATATGTGTATTTGATATTTACATACAATCTTTATATTCACATCATATTGTCTACTATTGTGAATTTATGTGTATTAATATATGTATAACCATTCTGCAGGGTAACTCTGCGATCCATTTATTTTAAATTTAGATGGTTGTTTTAAATCAAACTACATTTTGCCCTGAAATTCCCACTTTTATACTGCAGACTTTTGTTGAGCATCATGTCTGATCCCTTCATCTCACATCTGGCATCAAAAACGAATATCTCTGACGTGCCCTAACCCTCAACGACCAGGTAAGTAGAAAAAATACCTAACTTTTAAGAGTCTTTAACAAGCTTTCAGAAGGAATTCAAATCAAAGTACCACATTTTGAAAGATTCATACTTTTGGAAGTTTGAGCTTAAGTGAATCCTTAATTAATACTGTATTTGTGGAGTAATATCACTCTAAAATTAGTAGTTCATATAGCAATAAAACTTTATTTACATGGACAAAGTGTGTAGTACGTAGCTGTGGTGTCAATTCTCTTCGATCTTTGAAAATTCTTTGCAACTTTTTACGGCAGGGTTCAGACTCAGTAGGGCTCCGCTGCTCACATGGTCTCTTTGAGACGTAAATCTGTCATCAGTGAGGAGATTAAACATCGAGAACCTAAAAATACAACCTGATTTATTTCACGAGCTGCTACACAAGTTTGTAGAGGCAACTGTGCAAGTTGGATGCAGGCTCCAAATATTTTTGATCTTTAGAAAACATGTGATGAGATTATTAAATATTTTTCCGATGCCCTTATCCTCTGTCAGGCTTTATGTGTCACATACAAAACGAGAGGCAACTTTCTCCACCTGCAGTCTTTCTCATTGTGTTAACATTGTCAGAGGTGACATTAACTATGACCTTGTCCCTCTCTGTGTCACAGGTCACTCGGCCAATGCCCCAGCAAAGCAGCGTCAAGCTGCTTGTCCTCAAACACAAAAACAATCTGTATGAGAAGAAATATTTACCTTTACAGTTCTCCTCTTCCTCTGCATCCACCAGCCTAGAAGGGCAAAAGAAACGAGGGATAAGATGAGGTCACCGGCTGAAATATGAACAGGGAGGTGATGCAGACTTCAATCTTCGGCTGCAGTGCGTTCCCTCTTACAATGCACGACTTTGAGCCTCAGCATGCAGCTCCACCAAAGAAAACACAGTGCCATATTTGCATTCTAGGTAAAGCAACACTGTGGATGTCATGAAGGCGGAAAAACAAACCGCCTTTGTGGAAAGGTGCTGCACAAACAAATAGACAGAAAACTAAACCTGTGTTTCCAAAAGAGTAAAAGACTGGAAACTACCATGTAATAAGTTGTGAAGGTTTTTTCAATAACTGGTAAGTCTGCTAATGTGCACACATTAATGTAGTTTTGCTGAGGATACTTGTCACTGCAAACAGGTCACTGCAAAAAGCACCTTTTTTAGGAAGTAACAAACCAGGTGCCTCATCTGCTGCCCACAGCAAACAGCCCCTACCCGCTGCTCTCCTCCATCTCATTGGCTGTGATCGGCTGCGTCCTGAAGCGCTCACTGGTCTTGCGACCACCACCAGGCCCACCACCAGGGAGGTAGCGGCGGGTGCGTCGTCTGCCCCCCTCAGAGCCCGGGTCTACAGCCAGGTCCAAGGAGGACGTGGCTCGCCCAGCATCGGGGCAGCTGGTGTCCACACAGAAAGAAGAGGAAAGAGGAGGAGTAGGAAGGGGAAGAGGAAGTTGAGATGAGGACAAGCATCGTTTAAGAGGTACACGGTCTGATAGTGACAGTGTGGATCATACACATGCAGGTGACCCTACACTTTCTCGAGCTGCGCTCCGCTCCCCGTCTGCTGCAGGAGGGCACTTCTCAACTGGCCTACCGACACCCGAGTGTGGAGCTGCGGGACATCGTGCCCATCGGGGAAGAGGTCCCCCTCCCCACTCAGCATGCTGGCAGAGTCCTGGGAACCCTGCCTGGAGGGGGCGGGAGTGAGGGGAAGGAGGTGAGGATGCAGGAGTGGAGACCATGGGTTCACTCTCAGAAAAAAATAAAAAGTCGAACCTTTCCATCAAATGTTGCCAAATGCTTCAAGAGAGAAAGGTGATAAGTTAGTACCTTTTTTTTCTGAGAGTGAAGAGGTGACCAGTCAACGCACACTCTGAGAAAATACACCCGTGTCACCACATATCATGATGGGAAAAGTGATGAGCTGGGACAGGAGCAGCTCTTACGTCTACATGCAAGAGGAGAATCAGGGTGGCTTTACAGCTCCCTGCTGGGACTCACTGATTTAGACCTCTCAGTTTTAATTAGCAACAAAGGCAGCAGAGCAACTGGTAAAGTCAAGGATCTGCTGCTGCTGCTGCTGCTGCTGCTGCTGAGAGGAACCAATCTAGTTTAAAAACTTTATGAATATCACTGAGGACACTAAATGAGATGGATTTACTTTGAAAACTTCGTGTTTCTGCTTTCAAATGAACAAATTGTTTCTTGGAATGTTTAGTAAATACTTGTATGCGAATACATATGATTATACACTATTGCCTTTTCATATTTGCTATAATTGAATCTAGAATCAAGACCTGATTTAAATCCAGTTTGACTCAGATCTAAATAAAAAACAACGGAAATTTGGTGAGGAGCATTGACAAACAAAAAAAGTGGAGAATAATGTTTAATGACTAAATAAGAGAAAGATTTCGTCTCAGAACACCTGCTCCCTTCCACATACATCCTCAGGACCAAAGAGCTTATAGAGACTCCATCACTACACTGCAATGTTTCTCAGTAACAACTCAATTTACAACTGGTGGCAGCAACAAAATATATCTTTTTTATAGACTTAGACAGTTGTGTAGGTTTTAATTATTTTACGAGGCTTAAAGTTGTATTTTCAACTGAAAGAAAATATCATTCACAATGGGTTAAAGGATTTAACGTTTTATAATAGAACATAAAAATGAGCCCTAGTTGTAGAGTAAATGAGTTTTGCATTATTTCACTGGTTCCTTTTCTAGGGTGGCTGAGATGTCTCACACAAGTGCATTGATGAAAAACATGAATGTAAAAGCCACATAACGGAAACACAACCACAACGGAAATGTGAGACAATAGATGTTGTATGGGTACAGGTACCAAGAGCTTCAAAAAGTAACAATGCACTGTTACACCTCAAAATGTCAGTTTTTACAGGCATGTCATTTTAAGTGGCGATTGACACATCCGGATTCACTTACTTGACTCATACATCCTTAACTGAGTTATGTTGTAGTTTTTGCATTCAGGTTTTGTGCTTGTGTGAGACGTATCGGCCATGAACTTTCACCCACTCAGTGAAGTCAACATTCACTCCAGACAGGACTAACCTTCCCAGGTAGCTGGACTCTGCAGGCGTCTCTGTCTCTAATCCATTTGAGACCCCTCGTGTCCTGCCATTAACTCTCGGGCCATCTGAGTTCGATGTCCCTCTCGGGGCTTGGGATCCCGGGTCATGGGTGTCCTTCCCATCCCTCCTCACCCACTTTGAAGGTAGTTCCTCCACGTTACCAAAACGCTCAGCCAGCTCTCGCCTCCTCTCAGCCTTATAGCGAGCGATCCGCTCTGATCTGGGCTCCAAAACTGGGTTCTCCATGGCGTTGATGTCGCTCAGTCTGATTCAGGGATGGAAAGCAGGTGGGTTCTTCTGTCTTTTCCAGTAAAATCCAGATTCCATCAGCTGTAAAGACTCATGGAGTCCACCAATCAGAGGCTGCAAACCAGTCTGCACATCGGTGAGAAGGATGTTTCTCCTTAAAGATGAAAAACCAAACACAAAGATAAATAACAGATGTCCATTTGTCACCATTGCAGAACATGCACATCACCTATCCGCCCTTCAGGGGTTTGCATGTCTTCCTATAAAGGCCCATAACAACACAGATGCCTTCATTATATATTAAACAAATTTTCTCCTTCATTCACATCTCTCTCTCCTCTCTTGCTTGAGTCCATGTAAGATGACCTGTGCCAGGCTGCGATGCCATGCAGGAATCTCCCCTTGCACTGAAACTCAACACCGCAGCACCTCAGCGCAACTCTGGATCCAGGCCTTCAATGCACTGAGTCTGCAGGGTCACTGGACTTTTCCACAACGCAGCATGTAACTTAAGCTGAACAAGTCACTGTTCTCCTGTTCAAATGTTATCTAATGAGCAACATAGCCATTTTGACTGCTGCTTGCCAAGACAGCGCTATCTGTCAAACCCAGAGGCCAAATGACACCAGCTATAGTTTCGTATTTGTTTAAATACACAAATAATGAGGATCGGAATGATGACAAGTTCACAAGGATGACACAGTAAAAAGTCCCTGCTGGCTACATGGTTGCCTGGAGGTGAATAAACACTAACAAAGCCTGAGCCTGTGACCCAGATATAAATAGTACTGATATGGCACAATTTGCACGTAAAGACAGTCGCCAACCATAAGCTCGGTCGGCAAAGGCTTGAGTGGGTATGTGTGCTCACGAATGTGTACAAACATAGATGTGTGTTTGCACATGTGTCTGTGCACTTTCCAAAAAGTGTGGATGTCAGCATTCCTGATGCAGGAAACACAATGGAGCCAGAACAAAGAGACCTGAGCCGTGGACTTAGTGCACCACAGAGATCTGCTGCAGGCCTGAATGGTTAGAGTGGAGGCAGCGATCACGGAGTAAAAGACACAACTTGTGTGTTTATTTTATCGCTTGTGTGTTTTATTTCTAACTGCAACTGTTAGACTGAAAGAGGGAAGAGTGAGCGATCCCTATGAGACAACACTTCGCCACTTCCTGTACCTGTGCTTCAAACTAAAACAAACAGGACTCATCACCCCACAGGCCCAGGCCCACAAAGAGGGCATCGCTCAAGTATCCCAGAGTCTCACTGACGCCACACTCCTTTATGCCTCTGCTTAACAGAACATGAGTAAAAGTTGACAGTGGCCACACTTGTGTGAAGAGCAAAGGTCATGTGACTGGCTGGAGGATTTTATATTGGAGGGGAGATTGCCATTGAGGCTCAACAAGGATCATGGGTTTCTAATCCAGAGACACTAGTTGACACTGGCTCGGAAATAAAGCCTGTAGATGAGCAGACAGGGCAGACGCTTGACCTCCTGTCAGATATCTAATCTCAAACCTCAACAATGCTCTTTTATTTAAAGATGAATGTGAATATATTAACCATTGATTGCTGACCTGAGGAAGTAAATGAACTCTCTAGCAGCACTATCATGGCACAATTTCAAACCTGTATCAGGAATTATAGGCTTGATTGTTTGAGTTCACTCAAAGTGCCAAGATGTTAGATGTTATGCAACATGAGGACCTCATTTCTCAGTGGCATTGCAGTAAACCAGATTAAATTGTTGGCCTAGAATAAGCCTCTGACCAATTACACCTGTCCTGACTGACTGCAACTGGAGTCAGTGTTAAGCCTTGATCTGTACATTAGAGGGATGAGGCTGGAAGAGCAGCTTCCCCCCTCATGCAATCACCATTATCCACTCATCAGCTTCCAGTGGGATGAAGCACATCAACATCAACAGGTGGTCTGACGGAACATTTACCTCAAATTGTCAAAAACAGCAAACTCATATTATACATTCTTGGAATATAAAATGGCACACCCTTTTCAAGGTACAGACGCGTAACCACCGTTGTTTTCATAACAAAGGACATTTTGGGGCTATAAAACTTACTTCATCAGGATTCAGTTCGACTTATTTATAGTTATTTATGGTGAGTGGAAATATAAAGACTTAACTCAGTGGATAAAAGTCGCAATTAGATGGACACAAGTAAAGTTGATGCAGTTGCATTCATGCGTAATTCGTGCGTAAAACGTGTTCAAGTTGACATAATTTGTCAAAAAGTGTCTCCCTTAAAATATTTTTAGACACTTCATGAAACCTTTGACTCTAAAGCTGAAAAAGTGAGTGCCCACGAATACCACGAGTCTATATCCGATGCACAGTCTGAAGTTCAGCAGCTCAGACGCAACAACCACCGAGAGACGATTGACAGGAATAAGCGACTATGTGGTAACATATGCATAACCCGGGTTTAGCGGAAACATGTCGGAATCTGTAGGGATTTCGTTATCAAATTAATGAACACCGAAAGAAAGAATTAATGCGCATACTTACGGTTGCGGTGCTACTGCCCTTCCTCAGCCCGGCGGTCCCTCCCCACTGGCCCCCGCACCACGGACTGTATCTCCAAATGTAGCCACAGTGGCAGCTGTGGAGGGCTCTCCGTATTAAGGGGGGAGAGTATAAATAGATGGATGAACGAGGACGCCCCTTCCACTGTCCAGGAAGCAACCAAGAGACGCTGCTCCCGTAGAGCTGTGGTCTCATGCACAGAGGATCGACTTTAGCACATTATCAAGTAGCAGTTGCTGCAAGTTTGCATATATGATGTCACATGGCATGTTTCCTGTCCCTTCACTGATGATGCTGACACTCAGCAGAGTCCAGACATCCTCCAAGGCCCAACAGTCCCCTCACATCCAATCAAGCTGCACCAAATTTCACATACTTATAGATATCAGTTCCCTAATTGTGCCTGTTTATATATCAAGGTCCATGAAAATTGGTAAAAATGTCGAACACCATATCTCAAGTGAAAAAGTTGGAAAAAAAGTCCTGGTCCTTTTTGCCCCCAAAATCTTTAGTCCACTCTGAATTCTCACCATTCTGTCTTGAAATCATTCAGTGACACCTGATGTTTAAATTTGAATCTACTTTATATTTAATGAATGCTTTATTAAGGTCAGTGTACCGTTTTTTGTCTGAAGAGTGTTGCTTATTCTTCTTCCATTGTTTAATTGTGTTGCATTTATTAAAGTATCCATGAAATGTGGGGTCTTCAACTAAACAAAGATCACAGATCCCCTATGTAACTAGACCTCCTCACCTGGTGTAAGAAATGTTTCAGCACTGCCCCCATCGGTTCTAATTGTGCAATTACAAGTTAAAGTCTCATACAAGCACTAGACCAGGGACGCAACATGGAAAATTAGAGTCAGATCCGTGAGACAATTATTTATCAAAATACTTGAATTAACAACAAAACCCTTTGACAAAAAAAAATATTGTTCAATACATCACGGCAAACATAAATACAGGTGTGAACGATTCCAAATATCTTCCCAACAATTACAAAAGTAAAAGGTCTTCATTTTCTCTCGTATTCACAAATCTGGAGCAAAAGAAGCTTTGATGAAACAAAATAAACTAAGTGGCCATTGTGAAAGTGCTCATAATAGTGCTGTCAGCAGCAAAAGAGAATCCTTATTTTTTGTGTAAACATTCAACAAGAACAACGTAGCACAATGTCTTTGTGTGAGTACACATTCAAAATGCAAAAGTATTTGCATGAGGTAATTGCAAGTTCGCTGAAAGCTCAATAAACGTAACTCAAACATGTAGCATCCCACTCACAACTTGAACTGTGATTAGTGGCATGAATATTCCAAAGTAGATCATTCCAGTCATCACTCGACCGAGTCCTTTGTGAAGAAGGGATGAGCCAGAGCTTCGGCAGCGGAGATGCGGCTGCTTGGTTTGAACGTCAAACATTTCTGCAGGTGAGGAAATGTTAAACATTATTAACGATTTGGAGAAAAGTACTGTGCAGTGTCTGTGCTCTGATCCTTATTGTTTGAATGAATCCAAGCAAACTGAAGAAAAAGTTACCAAACCAATGTCTTAAACCTGCTCACCTAGTCTGACCTGCCAGCTACAAATAAAGATGGATGACAAGTCTCCACTTCCTTCCACTATCCAGAAATGAGGTCAAAATATCCTGAATACATGCGGTTGCTGGCGTTTTGCACTTTTGACGTCATCCGGAGCAAAGTCGGCGCAGTAGTCATCGTGGTGTGGCGCAAAGCCACGGTATCGAGGTCCCATCAATACACACTCGACCAATGATGATTCAGTCTCAGCTGTCAATCATGATGTTTCCCCTCGTTTCAATAACAGTGACTAACTCATTAAAACCTTACAGGAAATGAACACTTAAACATATATCCGTTTGATAAGATTTAGCTAAAATGATGGAAATCCTGATTTAAAAAAATGTATTTAATGTGTACTTTGACTTTTTAGTTGGTCCATGTTCCATCCACTAAAATGGTGGAGCAAGGTTTATAACCTATATTGCAGCCATCCACCAGGGGGCGATCAAGACACTCCCTCGATTTATAAGGTCTACTGCTGTGAAATTTGGTGCATCATGATTCCTAAAGATTGGTTCTAACAGACATTGGTCATCCCCTGACTTTATCTCTAGCGCCTCCATGAGGAAGAAATTTTACTATAATTTGGTCAAACATCATAACAGGATGATTTGTTTCTACTATGTGGAACGTCTGACTTTTCATTTGATTAAATTAAGCTAATTTATTCAATTAATTTGTTTCATTCTTCCATCTGCTAAACTGCTCTTTGTTTTTAGTGCGAATACACTAGAATAAGATTCTGTCCCACAATGATCTACAGTGTACAAACAGCAGGTATGGGACATTTCATTAAAACAGAAACACATTTGCTCACAGCGAGAAGTTCGTTCTCGTCTTTGCCCACGTTGTTCAGTATCGCGGTGCAGGAAACATTTGGTCCCCAGGTATTTGAGTATGGGATGGGACTGTTCCTGGGCCAGTCCTCCTCATCTGGCAAACCGATAACTCTAGAAAAAATGGTTGAAGCGGTGAAGACTAAAACATAAAAGTAACTCGAACATGATATACGTAAAACCTGACAGACTTAACTTTAAGGTTTATTTATTGATTCTAAAACAAAAGTCTTTAAGACCAGCCAATCAAATCAATGTCAAGTATAAGGAGAGACATTCCATGTAGGTGATGAAGACAAGACGTATGTTTGTTACACAAAAGTCATGTCATAAGTTAGTGCGCTCCATAACAATACTTACAATATGAAACCAAAACTAACCAGATCCAACGTAAAGAATGAAACAAAAACATGAACCTTGTTTCAGACTTTCAGGTGTGACAGGTTAAGCATTGGTTAGGTACAATAACATCCCTGCCTTGCTTTATTATGGATAAAGAGAGGAAACAAACACTCACTCAAAGATTTTCCACAGCTGCTGCGCCTCAGTGTATCCGAGAAAAATGGGTCTGTAAGACACAACGAGGCACGAGAAATCCTATTCGACAAGTTTTCCAACATAGAATATTTTACCTCTAACTTGAGAATTACACTCATTTATCTCCTCCAGCCAGAGATAGACTCAGCTCTACTCACTTCAAGAGGAAGAGCTCGGCGAAGATGCAGCCAGCGCTCCACATGTCCACTGAGGACGTGTAGACTGAGTTCAGCAGCACCTCAGGAGCTCTGTACCACAGCGTCACCACCTGAAAACAAAGAGATGTCGACAGAAAATAAAGAAATGAAAAGCCAATATCAAAGTGTATGAGAAGTGACAAGAACATTTTTCACCTCAGGCCGAGAAACAGACAGAGCACAGTGCTATATAAAGGAAAAGCCAGGCTCCAGGATGACTTAGGAGAGAAGCACTGCAGTGAAATACAACACTATGACAGTTCAAAGTTCTCTCTCATTCTGAGCTGCTGCTTCACTTACACCTGGAGTGAGAGCAATATTATAGGTGTAGATGCGTGCCAGTCCAAAGTCTGCAATCTTAACTTCTCCGTGGCTGCTGACCAGGATGTTTGCTGGCTTTAGGTCACGATGCAGCACCATGTTTGAGTGTAGGAAATCCAATCCTTGCAGCAGCTGCGACATCACATCCTGTACACAGAGACGGCAGAATGGAGCAGGAATCATGTGAAAGAGCTGTCTAAACTCAGGGCCTCCATTTAAGTCTGGACTGAATACGTTGTGACCATAGACTGTATATAAACATGACAGCTGCCCAAAAGTGAGGCCAAAGCATCTCGATTGCTAGTTTTATTTAATTTATCTGTTAAGTTTTATTCTAATTAGTTATTTGATGCTGTAAAAAGGGGTGAAACGCCATGATTGACAGCTAAGACTGATTCATGATTGGACCTTGCTACAGTGTAGCAGTGCACACTTTGGCTGCAAAAAAAATTCTCCGTCAAGGTTTATATTTGGACAGTGGGAGGAGGTGGAGACACGTTGTCCATCTTTATTTAGAGTCTACGGTTATGACTGGTTGACCTGGTGAAAAGGTGCAGAGCAATGCTGTGGAAGGCTGCCTCATTTTGATTCAATCTGATTCACTACATATGATGGACATTCCTTTCTCATAAGTTGGTAATTAAAGTTTGAAGGTCATAAACATCAGATGTTTGAGCAGACGAATTATTTCAGTGTGTCAATGAAAATGCAAAATTAATCTAATAGCTTGGTTAACAGGATGCCAAAATGTCAAGTGCCAAAAAATCGAATTCTGCGAAAGTTGTTTATTTCAGACTTGGTGAAGAGTTCAGACCTTGATACGCTCAAGGCTCAGTACAGAGGGCGGAACCTTGGAGAGGTAGGTGCACAGGTCCTGGTCGATGTATTCTAACACCAGAGTCAGGTCCAGGGTCCTGTCCACTAGTGCAACAGATGCATCCAACAGCCTGGATCAGATGAGAAAAGAAAAAATACAAGCATCAAGTGTTTTTGGCACTAAATTATTGCTTCATAGCAAAACAATCAAAACCTGCTGTAATCTGGAGAATTTAAAAGTAAGTAAAGTACATTCTATTTAATATAGCACCTCTCACAGAACAGAGTCACAAAGTGAGAACTGTTAACGGAAACCAGACAGGAAGTTATCATAGATGTTATTGACAGATAGTAGATATAATGCATCTATATACAATCTAACTTAAATGAGAGAATCATAATCATTCTTTATCATTAACTATCAGAAGCTGTCTAAAGTGTTGGAGGGGGGTTCAGATCCCACACTGCAGGGGGAGGGGGGAGGATACAGAAATACAATTCTAATTTTAATTCTAATGATTTGTTAATGCAGCTGCTTCAGGTCTCCTCTGACAGGGAGGATGTTTTCATGGTAGTTTGTTTGTTGTTTGATTTGTTTGCTCAAACACTACTGTGTCAATATTGGTGTATTTGTTTTAGAGGAGGTTGGAGGGGGCATGGCCCAAGGATTAAGTCATTATTCGATCCGAATAAACTGTTGGATCCAGGATCTTTCTTTTTCACTTTCTTCAACATGGCAAAAATGGGGATACGCCTTGGTGGAGGTATGTGCAGTTGTAAAGTGCAGGCTATATGCACCTTAACAGAAAGACGTTTCCATTAAGGTTGAACATCCCTAAATATTTTCAGATTCTGTATTTCTTCAGAAAAGATGTTTCACAGATTCCATGACTCCACAACTGCACTGCTCAGCTCTCTCCTTCTCCCACTGTTGCTGCCGGGAGGAACTGGACCATGAACACAGTCCACGGGTTTGAATCTGATCTTCCATCTGCATCCGTCAAAGTCTCATACACAGAACAGGGGCACACCTTTATTCTGAAGAATGTACCACATGGACGAAAATGTTTGATAGTGGCCAAGAGTGTTATCATTGGTTACATCTGTGAGTTATTCAAAGAGGTTGGGAATTATTTATTCTTGTTATATCACAACTTTACACTTGTAACATTACGACTTAATTCTTGTACTATTAAACCTTTATTGCTGTAAAATGGCTTTATTCTCATGTAATTACGACTCATGTAACATTGTGATATTATGACTGCACCAGGATTGCACAGCAGAGCCAGATTATCTGTCTGGCAACTGGATTGATCAAAATCTATCTATCACATGTTTATATTAAATGTAAGGAGGCACCCATTGTATTTTCAAACTGATCCAGGTGCAGAGTTTTTTCTTCCTTTTGTTTGCAAATAGGGCGTTGGCTGGGCGGGCGTGTGGGCACTTTCAAAGATGGAGGGAAAAACAACAACAGACACACAAATAAAGTTGAATCACAAACTAACTTGACTATGTTGGGATGGTTGAAGAACTGCATCCTCCGCAGCAGCCCCACCTCCCGGATGATGGAGGCCGGGATCCCGCTGTCTGAACTGTCCCCGTGGATCGTGAACTTCTTCACCGCCAAAAAGCGCTGCTTGTCCCCCAGTTCTCTGGCTTTGTACACGGTGCCGAAGGAGCCTTTACCCACCGCCGCCAGCAGCTGGTAGCTCAAAGGTTTGGTGAAGGCCATGGTCCTCCCGGGATGAAGAAATGAACCTGCAGACAAACAGAAGAAGCTAGCTCAGCAGAATGTGACCTACAGAGGTTAGCAGGTTAGCACGCAGCTCATCGTCCTCTGTTGCACAAACGCAAAGATCTTGGAAGAACAAGGTTTGAAAAGCAAGCGGACCTGATTTCTGAACTTCACTTCAGCGTGTGACCTTACTCGGACCTCCAGACCCGCCGCCTGCTGCAGAGGAAAAGGAAGCTCCAGACAGCAGCTACTTTAAAATCTATTAAAAATCACACCCACTTTGTTCAGGAGCTAATCAGGAAGCTGAACCTGAGAAATCCCTCCACGACCTCCATGCTGCTGCCAACACGTGCTGCGTTCAGGTGCACACAACAACAAGCTACTTTATTTACCAAGAAACAAAAACAAACTTTATCTATGGACAAGAAAGTGGGTGGTACTGAACTACATTACCACCACCAGTAGTACTACATAATAATATTGTTATATTACTTCTCTATTCTTAATAATCGTAATAACATGTCTTTTTTTCATTGAATTAGGACTATTTTGTTGCAACATTATACATGTTTTCATTAAATTACGACTTTTCTGTTGTAATATGACATTTTTGTTGTAATAATACAACTTTTATGTTTTTATATTACAACCTTATTCATGTATATAACATTATCATTAAATTACAGCTTCATTTTAGTAATATTATGTAGTATATAATGTATTTTGTAACATTATATTAGTACTACATCGCATACTACTGCTACTTATAATGATAATAATGAGAAGCAGAAATTATATCGATGCAACTTCCATCCATAAAATTGTAATAATGAGAAATAACGAGAATGACACAATAGAGTATACCTCCGACAAGGCCCCACAGTTACCTGATGAAGCCACTTTTAATTTCACTAGATCCAGATTTCTATTTGCATCTGCACCAAATTTCACTCATAAATATCAGTCTCCTAAACACATCAGATTTTGCCATCAAGATCAACAGATTATTCTGTGGAGGTAATACTAAAATCCAATCTATCTTACAAATATTATGTTTATGTATCAGTAATACTGTCAAAGTGCTTCATATAAAGGGAGAATTTATATTCTAAGGTTTAAACAATTCGCAAAAAAATAAATAGCATGTTGGTTATTGATTTAATTGGCACAAAAACGTGTAAAGGGTGGATCATCAACCAATACCGTAAGAAAAGAAATTACATTTCCTGTCGAGAGAGTATTGACATAAATACACACAGTACACCAGATACTGAATGGCATCTGTTGTTTATTACCAAATGGGGAGTATAGTTGGGCACAGAACAAGAAATTAAAACACTACACAACAAATGTGTGTATGAATTTCAACACAGTGAATGATATAAAAGTATTTGCATGAGGTAATTTTAGCTGTTTTAAGCGCTGGAAGCTCAATAACCATTATTCAAACATGAAACATCTCACTCTCTTAACAAAGCTGAATTAATGTAGATGTGCATGAGTCATACGTTTTAGCAGTTTGTGATGGGAAACTCGAAAACTCCTTACACATAGATTTCAGTTGTGCGATCAGTTACTGGTTAGACACACTATATAACGGTCACTCAGCTGAATGATGTCAGGCAGTTACTCCTCTTTGCATTTGCTGTTCATAGCTTTTGTTTTCTTTGCCAGGTTGATAGCATCCAGATGGAGGTTGCGGTTGAGAATGACAGAGCCGCAGGTGAGAGCTCCGGCCAAAGCACCCGCAAAGCCACACAGAAACACATCCTGGCCTGAAATACACAAAACATGAAATGTACCAAATTCATTCATACAGTTTGTCAGGAAATGTAGGCAGCCTCACAGAGGTTTGAGTAAAGGGAAATCTGAACGTGAAATCAATAAGTCACGCTGTCAAACATAGCTCTGGATGATATCACGCTGTGTGCCGTACACAAACTGACCTGTCAGATAGAGGTTCTTCAGCGGAGTCTGAGGTCTCACTGTAAAGTTGAGTTCAGGGCTGAAGCGGGCGATGCCGTGATCCGCTCCGTAGATTTCACCTTTGGGTGCTCCAATGTAGTGTGTGTTTGTGATGGGGGTTCCAGCATCAATAAACTCAACCTACACAAAAACAAATGTGATGTATTTGTTGCATTTAATCAGAAAGCATCACACATAAAACTGCTTATAATTGTATAAAACATGCATCCAAGAAACAACCAAAGATGCCACCTTAAAAAACTACATAGGGCTTTTCTAACACCATATAATAAACTAGACTATTGTAATTCTATCAATTAATTAACACACGACCTTCTAAAATATCCATATCACTGGCAGCTAGTTCCTGCAGCCATGATTCCAATTCAAATTCTAAGTAATTGTGCAGTTTCACATCTCGCTGCAGAAGATTTCAGGACACATGGTATCAGCTCTTTTACTGAGCTCAGTGCAGACTGAAAATGACTTGGGGAAATAAAGTTGATGCCTTTTTGATGACTGGATCACATAGATGAGGTAGGTAACCTGGGTGCTCTGTGATATAGCACAATATCCAAAGTATGTAAACACTGAGAACGTGCATACGCATACACTTGTGCACAAGCAAAAAGCAGCAATAACACGCAGGCCCTTCGGTCCTTTTGGATTAATCCACCATGACCACAGTAAATGACCACAACACAGGATGAATCTACATCTGTGTGCATCTGAGCATTTACCTTGTCTCTGGTTATCTTTGGGAAGACGTCCATCACCACCTCCAGAACAGAGTCGATGAAAGCCTGTTTCAGCTCTTTGTAGTCCGCCCCTCTGTTCGTCACTTTGTTGTCCTTCCACTCCTCGAACCACTCATAGTTGGCAAAGCTGACGAGACTCAGAGTGGATTTGCCTGATGTGACATGAAAAAATTTGTTCAATATAAAAAAACATATGACAATACAGAAAACTGTTCCCCCACATTCTATAACCCTGGTTCTGGATTGTCCAGAGAAAAAGGCTCGCATTAACTAACACGCCTGAAAGCACGTGTCACATGACCATTTGCTGGTCGAAAACTTCAGAGTTGTGTGGATGTCAGGAGTAAATATAGCAAAAGTGATGCTTTTTAAAACTATGACTTAATAGTGAAGTCACATGCTGCATCTCATGTTTGTGTACCTGGCGATCTTTCCTCCCAGGTTGGATCCTTAGCTGATGGAGAGGCTACAAACAGCAGGGGTACATTTTTGGCTGAATCTTCCCTCTTTCCCTTCATATAGCTCTCCACCCTGTCATTGAAAACAGGTTATAAGATTTGATATAAACTCACACAGATAGCAGATAAAATACTTCTATTAGAATATTAAACTAAAAATGATTAAAATCTACCGTAAATTCCTGTAATTTTAACAGGCAACACATGAAAGAGTCAACACAACATACAATTCGTCGAAGTTGTTCTCAGTAAAGATCCAGTAGTTGTCTGCTTTCAGGCCCAGCTCCTCTTTGGTTCCAGTCAGACCCAGAAAAATACTCAGGCCTCCTTCACCATTCTTCATCATACTCAGCTGCTTCTGAATGGCTGCAATGCACATGTAGGACAACTTTACAGAAACACGTTCAGTGAAATTTGCTCATAGAACCTGATCAATAAATGATTTCCTGATGGCTGAAACAGTCAGTCAGCCTAAAAGTAACAGATACCAACTTCTTATGGTAAAAATGATCTTAGCCCAAAGGTAAATTTACTAATTCACCATTTAAGTGTATTTGTAACTCTTTCTGTCATGTTTAAAACCTTCTTCTCAGGTCATGTGTGAAACTATAATTACTCTCCTGGTTGTCTACCCCTGCACACCAGTGCAGTTTCAGTCCCTTCAGGTGTTCCTGACATCTTGCATTCACAATAATATGAGATGAGATCACTGTGATCTTTGACCACTGAAATCTAATCAGTTGATCTAGTCAAAGTGACAACTGGTCAATATTTGAGAAAATTATCTACTGGCAGAGTTGAGATTTCATAGATCAAGAGGCCAAAACACACTTTTGTAAGGTCATGTGACCCTTTGCCTTTGACCTTCAACCACCCAAATCTTATCAGTTAATCCGTGAGTCTAAATGAACATTTGTGCCAAATTTGAAAGCATTCTCTCAAGGTGTTCTTAAGACATGTTCATGAGGCAAGTACATATGGACCGACAAAAACAAGGAACAAATATATAATTTAACATTCTTGGATTCCATCTTCTAAAATTGAGTGAGTTCTCTGCTATATAAATATCTTAAGGTTTTGGACAAAACATGTTGACTCCCTGAGTCTGTCAGAAATTTTTAACTGTATTAACATTTCACAGATTAATCATTTAGCAGTTACATGGAAAAAAAGTTTTTTAATGCAGCTCATATTCTTCCCTCACCTGGCATGGCCTGGAGCTCTTTAGGCAGTAGCTTCTCGTAGGTGTTGAAGATTCCAGCATTGGAGATGACCATGGGGGCATGGATATGGATTTCCTCCTGACCTTTCATCACACTCACACCTAAAAGGATAAGAACAGACACAGTGAATCCTCTGTGGGAGCAACATCTGTGACGGTGTATTAAGGACCACACCCACCATAAGCTTCCTTGGCATCATTGAACAAGATGCGATTAACTGGAGCTCGGACTAGCACGGCACCACCAGCCTTCTCAATGATGGGGATCATGTGATAGGCAATTTCAGTGGCTCCACCTTTAGGGTACCAGGCACCATTCAGGTAGTGAGTGACCAGCAAGCTGTGCATAGAAAAACTGGCCTCTTTGGGCATGTTTCCTGCAGATCAAAGAAGGAAACAAAAAGTGTGAACAGCAGGATAATTAAGAGACGACCACGTTAGAGCCACAGATGTCTTGCCCGGCCCCGGCCTACCGTAGGTGCCAAAGATGTAGGTGAAAACAGCCCGGAGGTCTTTGTTCTCTGTCAGTTCATTGACCACTTCTGTCAGGCTGCGTGGGGCCATTTTGAAGAAGAAAGACAGTCGTTTGGCCAGGCCGCTGTAGACCAGGAACTTAGCCAAGGGGACAGGGCAGAGCTTCAGGACAGCCAGGAGCCAAATGCCACGTCCAGCTTTCTGTAGAAAAACACACATTAACACACTGATGTTTACAATAAAAACGGAAAAAAGACACCTGAGTGACATGAGTGTAATCAAAGCAGTTTTGTTTTTTCGTAATGAGCCTGAACGCTGTTGTTTTGTCATTCTAACATTTGTAAATTAACGCTGAATATGTGTTTATACTTATTAAATGTTCTGTTGGTTTCAGGAGGGAAAAATAAAACATTGCCTGAGTCAGGATGCATCTTTCACAAGAGAATGAACAAGCAAATAAGAAAAACAACAGCATATTAAAAATATAGATTTCTGGGGGGAGAATGGTTCTCATTTATTAGAAATAATGATTTCAGGTTTAGGAAACAACGTGATTTTTTTCAATGATCGAATGATTCAGATCTTTCTGTGGATATATGCTGTTAACCTTGTATATTTCATCAATAACTAGCAGGCTGATAATAACTACGAGGCCAACACTAGGTTAACACCATATATTTGCACAAATACCTAAATCATGTGAGCAAAATGTTAAAAATTTACATTTACCAACTTCAATTAGTAACTTTATCAGTCAAAAATCGTGGCAACAACAAGCGTGTCCCAGACATATTCATCACTTTTAGTGCTGGGAGTATTTGGTCATGTTGCTAGTATTTGGTCATGCTGTGATTATTTGGTGGTGCTGCTAGTATTTGGTTATACTGCAAGTATTTAGTTCTGTGTTGGGATTTAGTTGTGTTGTGGGGATTTGCATTGCGTTTTCTATTTGCCGCAAATTGATTAAGATCAAAGATCACTTAAGCTGCAGTGCATTACGCTCTGAGGGCCACTGAACGGTTGAGCAATTACACAAAAATAAAAAATTGAAGTTGAAATTAATAGATCCAGATAAGTGGCTCCACACAGAGGATACTTTCATCCCTTATGTGTCAAAGCAAAATTCTGATGCAACTTAGTCTGGATAAAATTATGTAATACTATGAGACGGCTAATAAGAGACCTCACTAATTACTCTAACCTTTGGTTTACTAACCCTCGAGTCCTTGAGGAATATCAGTGACACCATCGAGAGAAATCTGGATAATGGTGTCCTTGTGTAATTAAGTGAAGTTATTTTTACAGTGGGAGAAAAGGCATTTGCATGTGAAAGTAGGGTAAAGGTCATAAAAGAAGTTCAGTGTATTTCAGTAACTACGCACTTACAGTATTGTTTTTCAAGCCATTACAAATGTTTATATTGTAGTTGCAAAGTACAGCCACCATAAATGAAGATGCTTTATCATAGCTGGTAAAGTTACAGCATCCTACCTTGGCCAGCTTCAAATACTCATCAATGGCCTTCTCCTCTCCAGGGAAGCACTTCTTCAGCTCCTCAGGGAAGCGGGTCCTGCCGCTGTAGATGGGATACCTGCGGCGGTTTTCTGGCGGCCCCAGAACAACATGGTCAAACGGATTTTCCAGAGGCTCCCACTGCAGCTGTCCGTTGGTAATTTGATCCAGCATGCAGCGGAACGGCTTGTGTTCCAGCAAGTCACCGATGTAGTGGATTCCTGAGGAAGACAGATAAGGACAAAGCAGACATGTTTCCAGTGCTTTTATTTTTGGTGAGAATAGAATAGTCAATTCTCAGAATGTAAGATTCTGTATTTCAGAGCCTGACAGCACCAGCATTCTTTTTATTTAAATGTGACATATTTATGAAAGATAAAGACAATACTCGAAAGAGATAAGAGACATTTTTCTCACCAACATCAAATTCAAAGCCTTTCTCAGTGAACGTGTGACAGCATCCCCCAGCCCGATCATGCTGCTCCAGAACCAGGACTTTCTTTCCAACTTTGGCCAACAGCACCGCGAGTCCGAGCCCACCGACCCCACTGCCGATGATGATGGCATCCAGGTTGTCAGGGATTTTACTGGCCACAAAACCTGAGGGAAAGGCGACAAAACATTTAAAAAAGAGTTTGCCTGTGTTTAGTGCACATTTGACCAAACATATTAGATTCTACACAGCTGATCAAATTGAAACTAAAAGATCAAATTTAACATAATTGATTTTTGATCAGCTATAATTTAGATTAACTTGATTACTAATTATAATATCAATTAAGAAAAAATAACCCTTTACATTACTCACTCAAATATATTAAACTCATTGTGTTATAAAACAGAAAAAGGAGCCAAATCCTCACTTTTCATATACTTTATTGTAGGAGTGCCACACAGTTAACAGTTGCTTGTATAATGCTGAACATATTTATAGCCATCTTAGAATATTGAAGTATATTA